CCATTACTTTGTCTTCTAAGTCGCTAATTTCTTCCTCTTCTCTTCCATCCTGCTATGCATTCCATCAAGCATGTTTCTGATTTCATTTTTTAAGCCCTTTACCTCTTCTATGTTGTTCCTTATCCCTATGTTAAGGGTCTCACTCATGTCTTCCACTCTTTTCTCAAGTCCAGTGAGCCTCTTTGTGATCATTGCTTTAAATTCTCTATTAGGCATGTTACTTATATCTGTTTTGCTTATATCTCTGGCCATGCCTTATCCTGTCCTTTCATTTGGGATCCTCATTTTGTCTGCCTCTCTGTGCCTGTTTCTGAGTGTTAAGAAAGTAAGCTAAGTCTTCTGCTCTTGAAAGTAATGACTTTACGAAGAGGAGGTCCTGGAGTACCCTGCAGTGCAATGTCCCCTACTCACCAGAAACTGGCACTTCAGGAGAGTATCTTATGTGTGTTGCTTACTTACTGGTATCATTTTGATAACTAATAATGCTGAGTCTATTTAAATATGTTAACTGGGTATTATGGTATTCCATTTTGTTAAGCGCTTTATAAAATTTTGATTTCCAACAAAAGCAGGACTTGAGATGAGATCAAACAGTTTATTTGGAAAGTGATCCAAGGAAGGCCTCAAAGAGCAGACATACAAGTCCAAACAATCACAGAACTTGTTGCATACTGGTGACCAGCCACAGTATCAATCTGGAGTACTCTGCTTCTTTCTTTCATGTTTCTTTGTCCTCTTTGTACCAGGGACAGTTTCAGACTTCACCCAGAAAACTTCAACCAACAGACATCAAGGAGAACACAGTTTGCGATGTGCTGAGCATTAGGCACAGCTCAGAGAACGGTAGACTTGATATTCATTGTTTTCACCAGCTAGGTTCTGAAGCCATTTGTCATGAAAGCAATACATAATACAGAATGGAAAAGGGAGGATGGGTGAAAGCTAAAGGGAAATAAAAAATTAAGGAAGAGTTTATTGTTCTTTAATAAAATAATAGAGACTTTAGCATTCAAAAAGGATAAGGGAAAAATATCTATCTGTACTTAGGTGTGTGTGTTGTACATAAACTCTATTTATAGGGCAGCAAAAGTCTTAAAAATCAGAAAAAAAGGAAAATCAGAAAAGACAGTAGATATAAGTATGAAATTAGCAAACCTCACTAAATACCTAAGCAGAAAAATTATTTTTTAATATTGAAGGACCTTTTCTACATCCACACACACACGTATACATCCACACACACGTTAAGTGAGACCATAAAAACAAGTGTCAACAAAATTAACAATAAAAAATCACACAAAGTATGTTCTACATAATGGAATGAAATTAGAAACCAGTAACAGGAAAAGGAATTGGCAAAATTTACATGTATGTGGAAATTAAACAACATACAACCAAATAATAGGTCAAAGAAGAAATCACTAGAGAAACGGGAAAATAGTTTCAGATGAAAGAAAATTAAATGTAACATACCAATTTATGGAATGAAGCTAAAGCAGGGAGTAAAGATGGAATATAACAGCTGAAAATGTCTATGTTAAAAAGAAAAGGAAGATCTCAAATCAATAACCTAAACTTCCACCTTAATACCAGAAAAGAACAAACTAAACCCAATGGAAATGAAAGAATAAAATAGAAAAACAATAGGGAAATTCAATAAAACCATTAAGTGGTTTTTAAAAGATCAACAAAATTGATAAACCTATAGCTATGCTGACCAAGAAAAAAAAGAACATGCAAAATTAGTTAAAATAAGGAAAGAGGGGATATTACTACTACCTATACATAAATAAGATTACAAATGAATACTATGAACAATTGAATGCCAATAAGCTAGATAAGCTAAATAAAATGAACAATTTCCCAGAGAGACACAAGCTATTGAAATTGATTCAAGAAGATTCAAGAAGAATCTGAATACAAATCTGAACTTACAGAAGAAACTGAGTAAACAAACAAAAACAAAACTTCCAACAAAGAAAAGCCCAAACCCAGATGGTTTTACTGCTAGATTCTAACAAATGTTTAAAGAATTAACATTAATACTTCATGAACACTTACCAAAAAAAAGGAGGAAATAATTTGCAACTAATTCTATGAGGCCATAGACCTCTCAAGAAAACCAACACATCAGTATCCCTTAAGAATATAGACACAAAAATCCTCAACAATAAATTAGCAAACCAAATCTAGCAGCATATAAAAAGGTTTATGAACCATGACCAAACAGGATTGATTACAGGATTGCAACTGTTTCAACGTATGAAAATTAATCAAATTAATACATCATGTTAATAAAGGAAAAAACCACAAGGTTATCTCAATAGATACAGAAAAAACATCTGACAAAATCTAATACCTTTCATGATAAAAATACTCAACATACTAGGAAGAGACTTTTCTCAACCTGATAAAGAACATGTGACATATCTAATATCATACTAAATCTTAAAATATTGAAAAGCTTCCCCCTAGGATCAGAAACATGACATCTGCTCTCATCATTTCTATACAACAGTGTACCAGAAGGTCTAATGAATGCAATTATGCAAGAAAAAGAAATAAAGGGTCTCCAGATTGCAAAGGAGAAAGTAAAACTATCTAGATGTGCAGATGACATAATCTTATATACAGAAGATCTTAAAAATCCACAATAAAACTATTTGAGCTAATAAGTCTGGCAAAATTGCAAGATACAAAAATTAAATGTATTTCTAACATTAGCAACGAATGATCTGAAAATGAAATTAAGAAAATAATTGCATTTATAACAGCATCAAAACCAAGAAAATACTAAGGAATTGGAACAAATTAAGCGTAGTACTGGACTCAGTAAACTACAAAATGTTTTTGAAAGGAATTAAAGACCTAAATATTTTGAAAGGCATCCTATTTTCATGGATCAGATTTATTTTTGTTAAGAAGCTAATACTCCCCAAATTTATCTACAGATTATACCTAACCCTATCTAAATCATAGCTAGCATTTTTGCAGAAATAAACAAGCTGATACTTAAACTCATTAAGAAAATGCATGGGAAACAGAATAGCCAAAACAATATTGAAAATATACAAAAATTAACCTAATAGAGACCATAGATCTAAACATAAAAGTCAAACATACAGAACTGTTAGTATAGATTATAGGATATCTTCATGATCTTGGGTTGGGCAATGGTTTCTTAGTTATGACACCAAAGCACTAGCCACAAAGGAAAAAAATATATTGGATTTCAACAAAATTAAAACTTTTGTGCATGAGGAACATTACATAGATAGTAAAAAGACAACACACAAAATGGGAGAAAATGTATGCAAAATCATATACCTGGTAAGGGTCTAGTATGCACAATATATAAAGAGCTCTTTAAACTCAAGAACAAAAAGACAAACAACCAACTAAACAATGTAGGATAGGAATAGGCATTTTTCCAAAGATATACAACAGCCAATAAGCATATGAAAAGAATGCTCATCATCATTTAGTCATAAGGAAAATGCAAATCAAAACCACAATGAGAACACTTTACACCCACTAGGATGGTTAAAATCAATCAATCAATCAATCATAAGTGTTGGTGAGGAAGGATGTGGAAAAGTTGGAACCCTCATAAATCCTTAGTGGTAATGTAAAATGGTGCAGCTCTGGAAAACAGTCTGGCGGTTCCTCAAACAGTTAAACATAGAATTACCATATGACCCAGAAATTCCACTCTAGATATAAGAAATAAATCACATGTCTACCCAAACCTCTATGTAAGTGTTCACAGCAACGCTTTTCGTAATAGCCAAAAGATGTAAACAAGCCAAATATCATAAACTGGTAAGTCGATAAATAAAAAGTGGTATATGCATATGATGGAACATTATTCAGGCATAAAATGGAACAAAGTACTGGGGCGCCTGGGTGGCTCAGTCGGTTAAGCACTGACTCTTGACCTCAGCTCAGGTCTCAATCTCAGTCGTGAGTTCAAGCCCCACATTGGGCTCCATGCTGGGTGCAGAGCCTACTTAAAAAAAAAAAAGAACAAAGCACTGATTCTTTCTAAATTTCTGACCCAGAGAATCAGTGAGCTGATTAAAATGATTATTGTTTCCTGTCAGTTAATTCAGAATGGTGTATAATACAGCAAAGATAACTGGAAAAGCACACGTGATTTTTATAGTAAAAACAAGCCAACTCTTGTTCCCTGATGGTTCCTCTTTTCACAGTGCTCTAAAGTCACATACACAACTCCCCGCAAAAGAAAGCAGATATGAAAATACATGGGTATATAAACACATATATTTTTCAAAACATAAGAAAATTACATCATTTTCAAAATACCAAAAAATATCACCTAACATTCTGGTATGTTATAGAATGCAAAATACTCCCAAAGATATCATGGAGGTAGGTATATACATCAGCTTAGGCTTCCAAAACCTGTGTAGTTTTCAAGGTTTGGATGCAATTTCAGACAATTTTTCCTAAATGGTCTTGCCTTTAATAGGGTTTATCATAAAGCAACACTTTTCTGATTTCCCAGGTTGTTCTCACTGAGCATAGATTTGGCCTTACTGGTAACTTCGAAGTCTCCTATATTTGACTTAAAGGTGTTAGGACATTTTACCTTTTAAGTAACAGACAAATTCTGGCTCTGTCTATGCATACTGTGTGATCTCAAGGAAAAATGACAACTTTCTTTGCCTTATCTATGTCTTACTTGATTCCATCAGGATGATTTTAAGGATTAAATGAGAGAAGACATGAAAAGTCCTGTGCACACAGTGTTAGGCACAAAAGAAACAGAACACCTCTGAAACCTAACCTTAGGACTCAAGACTATGGCTTAGTAGCTGCAGAAGAGAATCACATACTAATAATAATTATATGGATTTCTAAGTCATATTTTGCAATTTTTAGTAGACCATTTTAAAAGTTAAGCATATTATGAAACACATCAATTTATGCTAGATAAAGCAATATTTCAGTAACAGAGGTTAATTTTTAATATTTACCTTGATTAAATATTTTTCCCATCTGTCTGCTGTAACAGATTTGCCAATCTTCCTCATCAACTTCAAATGGAGCTCCACCAATTCTTTTGGTACTTAAAAAAAGAAAAAAATACTGTTAGCCAGCAGAATAAAATGTTTACAAACATTTAAGATGATAAAAAAAGAACTTTCCCAGGGCACCTGGGTGGCTCAGTCAGTTAAGCGTCCTTCGGCTCAGGTCATGATCCCAGGAATTCTGGGATTGAGTACCTGCTTCTCCCTCTCCCTGCAGCTCCCCTTGTTTGTGCTCTCTCTCTCTCTGCCAAATAAATAAAATCTTAAAAAAAAAAAGACCTTTCCCCAACCCTGAATACTTTTTCAAAATAGATTATGTTGATTTTAGCTATCTCTTAAACCCTGAATCAGAAAAGACTAAACTAGGGCAAGAAATAACTGAAAACCACTCTCTTAAAGATGAGAAGGAATATTCATTCACATTTTCTTTCAAAGTATTATCAAGTAAGAATGAACCTGAGGGGCGCCTGGGTGGTTCAGTTGGTTAAGTGTCTGCCTTAGACTCGGGTCATGATCCTGGGGTCCTGGGATCGAGCCCCACATTGGGCTCTCTGCTCAGTGGGAAGCCTGCCTCTCCCTCTCTCTCTGACCCTCCACCCTGTTCGTGCTCTCACTCGCTCTCTCTCAAACGAATAAATAAAAAATCTTAAAAAAAAAGAGAAAAGAATGAACCTGAATGTAATCTGTGGATTTTTAGAGTGATAATGATGTGTCAATGTAGGTTCATCAATTGTAACAAATGTACTTCTGTGGTGCCAGGGTGTGGATAGCGGGGAGGTTCTATGTGTTGGGGAAGAGGGTATATGTGAACTCTCTGTACTTTGTGCTCTTTATTTCTGTGAATTTAAAACTGCTCTAAAAAATAAAGCCCATAAAAAAAAATACCATCAAGTAAAAGCCTTTAACCATACAAGTAAAATTTCTACTACCGTTTATTTCTCATAACACATATTTGGAATAATTCACTCTTATTGCAAACCAAGACATAGATCCAATCCACAGAATTAGGAAAGAATCAAGGAATATAAATTCCAAGTTGATAAATATCTCAGAAATAGAGTCTAATGGTTTTCAAACTATTTCACAAAACTACTCTTTCAATCTATACCTTCTCTAAGTGCTAAAGTCCTTTATAGCTAGCATCCCTATGGATCTTCACTTGACAACCTTTAGGGACAGAAAACTGACTTATCTTCTGAAGTTCTATTTATTAGAAAGTTAGCCTTAGATGTGGTCAAAATCTGCCTTCCTATACCTTCCTTCTCTGGTTCTTATTCTCTAGCTTCAAAGACAATACTTTCAATTCCTCTTCTGTTGGAACCTTCAAGTATTTCAAGATTGTTTTATCTTCCCTCAGGTTTTCTCTTCTAACTGTAAACAACCAGAGTTACATATATCCCTTGGGCAAGATCTGATTATGTTGTTTAATTACATGAGTTAGACTTGAGGGAAATAAAGGACACATATATATGCCTATCAAATTTAGCATTTCCCAAATACCAAATACCACTAGTAACCTAAGAGAAATTGGAGGTATACTCTCTAAAAAGGTTCTATAATCAAGTACAACAGAAAAATACTGAATCCAAAAAGCAGTTGTTGGTTGTTGCTGTTGTGGTTTTACTGCAGGACTTCTTGACGTCTTTACTGACTGATCTTATGTGTACTGTGAATATCCAAGAAAAGGATATAATCTGCACATTCCCTAATATATCTTATCATGGAATTTTTATGTGTGTGAAACATACACTACCTTATCTTAGGACACAAGTGCTCTACAGACAGGCTGGGAAATGATGGACTAATTTTCAGTCATTCTTTCAGACTCTTCATTCTCCACTAAAGCCAATTTTAACTTGAAATGACCTTGAAGTGTAAAAACATTCAGCCATTCAACAAATTTCTGTGGGACCACTACTAATAAACAAGAAAAAGTCTCTACCCTTAATGAGCCTACTTAAGTGAGTCTTAGGGGGTTAGACAGTGGGGGGGTTGGAGGTGGGGATCGGGGAGAAGCATAGGAGGAGTGGTTATACACAAGAAGATAGACTATTATACTAAGTCTAAACCTAAATTTGGGATTGAGGGTGGAGCAGAGAAAAGAGGGTAAAGGACATTACTTACAGAAGTAATAGCAAATACAAAAGACTGAAAAATAAAATGATCATGGAAGTGGAGGCATGGGCACAAAAAAAGGGCATGATCAGAAAGATGATGTCCAGGCAAAGAAGTTTACATTTTATTTAAAAGTTTAGGCAAGAGAGTGCTCTCTGCATTTTAGAAAGCAATTGAATTGTAGGAAAACAGACTGCTTTTATTCGCTTGCTTGTTTTAGGAGGCGGGATGCAAGGCAGAGATTAAATGTAAATTCTGGAAAATATCAACCCAGAAAGATGGGAGTAACCTGAACTTAGGTAGAGGTGGTATAGACAGAAGTGGGCAGATCTGAGAAAAGTTTAGGAAACAAATAATACAATTTAGTGACTGCCTGGCTGTGCAAAGCTATAGAGAAAGTCAAGAAAACCTTAGGCACTGGCTAGGCAACTGAGTAGATGCCAATGACAACACAGCAGGAAAAAATGACCAGGGCTCAGGTGTCAGCTCTACCATTTAATACAAGGTGACTAGGATTCTTCTGGTCAAGTTCTTTAAACACCAAATGTCAAATTCCTCATCTGTAAAGGGCTACATTAGCTATCTTACAGTTTTAAAAGTACAAAAACCAACATTACATAAAGCTAAAACATCTTTTTACTTCTGTTGTGATACTTGGGGAACCACGGCCTGTTTCAATTTCTCCTTTTCTGCCTTCCCCAAACACAACGGTCTTGATGATTCTGCCTTCATACATCTCAACTCTGCTCCCTCTTTCCCCCAATTTCTCCAGGATATCACTGTACTGTCTCACTTCAGAAAAATAGCTATGATAATCCCTTATAACCAAACCAACCTTCCAAAAATACTATTTTCATAACACTTCTCATTCACTGACACCTTTTCTGGCTCCTAAATTTCTATATTAAACTCATCCAGATTCCTTACCGTAGCCTCAGAGTCTTAAAATTTCAAACCTAACTCTCCAATCCTTCTCTCTCACTTTTACACGGAAATCCTTGATTCTGATCATCCTGGCCTGTTCACATACCCAGACCACTACCTATCTGGGCTTTATTTAAGCCATCCAGCTTACTGTTTTCTCCCCACTTGAATCATATTTCTCTTTCAGTGTCTCATCAATAAAAGGTCCAAAGTCTCTGTGATAGCCTTCCAATGATTCCAGCAACATGTTTGTCCTTGGAATGCCCAAAGTATTCATACTGCCTGTATCACTCCCTTAGCAATTCGCTAAAGCTTTACATCAGTGTTTTATGTACGTCTTCCGTATCATACAGATATATAAAATCACAAAAAACATTTTTATAAAATTGGTACCATTTCTAAAAATCTAACAGGACAGAAATAAATATACGCCCAAAAAATGGTTTTCAGCCCACTTGACAAATATAGTCCTTGTTAATTTAGGCGTGTAGAAATAAATTATATATTACTTGATTTGCTTATTAGAGCACTGGCTCTTCCACAGCACGGTCTAACAGAAATATAAGATGAGCCACATAATTTCAAATTTTCTAGTAGTTCATTCATAAAAATAAAGAGGCCAAAATTAACTTTAATAATGTATTTTATTTAACACTATATATCCCAACGTTATTTCAGTATATAGTGAGGATTTAAAATATCAGGTATTTTACATTTTCTTCACTTGATATTTTAATTTCTTTTTTAAATTGTGGCATAAATGGGGCGCCTGGGCGGCTCAGT